GAACTGAAGTCTCTGAAACATCTGCAACAAATTACAACAACCCCCACAGATTCTTTGGGTTGTGTTTGTGTAAAAGATGGGTAGGGTTAGTAGTGGGTGTTAAAAAGAGATCTGGGAGAATTTTCTCCAGGGGCTATCAATCTGTTAAGGTAGTGGGCTGAATTATGAGAAGAACTGTTTTAACGGTGGTGGGGAAGGGGGTGTTGAGAAATAAGGGCTGGGGGACTGAGAACAGGGCAGAGCTGCAAGCTTACTATCTTCCCAAGTATAAACCTATATACTGACTATTATATACACAATAATGTACATCTCTGTCTTGAGTTTAATTCATACTCATTCTCATATTTCTTTTCCAATCAGTATTGTATCTTGTTCAAAAAGCATAGCAGAGTGCTAGGGGTTAGGGTCAATGGCTTTGGCTTAAATGTGTGCTGTAACTTCTGATAAATAAACATTTTGTTGCATTTATTTTCAGGCTGCACACTATGACCACTCATTGGAAATTTGAGCACAAAGTTTCCCCCAAGTATTCCACCTAGCATACTAGCTATGTGGGACCAATGCATAAAATATTTTTTAAACTAACAAAAATCTTGTCATTGTTTAATTAATTTAAAACTATTATAAAAATATTGTACCCTACCATATTCAGCTAAACCTGTCATAATTACATGACCAGTTAAAGTCACAATATTATTATATAAATCCATCCATCACCTATTATCTTGATCATGGTGACAGGGGGCCTGGAGTCTGTCCCTGGCAACACAAGGTAAAATCAAAACAAATCCATAATTAGTGTATGATCATAAATAATAGCTATGCATTAATATAAACTTTTCAAGCCATATTTATCAAACAAACATACCTTTATATTGTTAAATATGTACATAATTGGCTTCTTGGATATTTTTACATTCACTCCATTATTCTGTTTACCCTGTATAATTACAAAGTGCCCTCCTGAAGTAATTGAAAGGAAAAATAAATTATTATCATAAAACAAATACTTTTCTCAAAGGTATCACAATTATTGGCACCCCTTCGTCTAGTACTTTAATATTTAGTGCAGCCCCCTTTACCAAGCTAACAGCTCTGAGCAGTGCTTGAAGAACACATGAGTAGGGATCTGAAGCCTTTCCTCCATACAGAATCTCTCTTGATGTTTCAGATTTTGAGGTCTGTACTTGTGCACTCTTCTGTTCAGCCCATTCCACAGGGCTTCAACGCGAATTAGGTTGGGGGACTAGTGTGGCCCAGGCAAAGACTTTTACTCTGTGGCTGGTGATCTATTTTTGTGTTGATTTTGAGGTGCATTGTCCTGTTGGAAGATCTATCCATGGGCCAGTGTAAGTCAGCTTTTGCTTTATTTTCTGCTGATACATGAAACCATGTCCATGATACCATGTATCCTAACAAGATTTCCTGGGACTTCAGAAGAAAAACAGCCCCAAAAAGCTCTATTTTCGTGTCATCTGACGATACAATCTTGTCCCATTGAAAGCCCCAGTAACGTGTACAAACTGTACCCTCTGTTGTTGATTGACAGCAGAGGCCTTTTTCTGGTATCCTTCCCAAACACTCCTGGTGATGTAGGTGGCATCTGATCATAGTTTTGGAGGCTTTCTGACCCCAAAACTATCATTTGCAATTTTCCAGCTGTGATCCTTAGAGATTCATAGGCCACTTGAATCATCCTCCTCACTGTGCATGCCCTTCTCTTGCTGATTCGAAACACCTCTAGTTACTTTGAATCTATTAATTGCCGCCTTGATAGTGATAATGGGAATTTTCAATGGTTTAGCCACTTTCTTATAGCCATTTTCTGATTTGTACAGCTCACCAAGTATTCATTGCATATAATTTCTGTGTTCTCAGCTCTTTCCCATTGTAAGGAATGACTAAGGGAATCTGGCCTGTGTGCCATCTCATATTTATACTGCAGTGAAACATAAAGTAATGGCTGACCACTTAAGGTTTCCAATCCACTCTAGTAATTTTAAAAACTTAAAATAATATCGGGATTACACTTCAGTTTGATTTTATTCATATGAATTTCTATAACTGTGGCACACATACACTATATTGCCAAAAGTATTGGGAAACCTCTCAAAATAATTGAATTCAGGTGTTCCAATCACTTCCATAGACACATGTGTATAAAATCAAGCACCTAGGCATGCAGACTGTTTCTACAAACATTTGTGAAAGAATGGGTCGCTCTCAGGAGCTCAGTGAATTCAAGCGTGGTACTATGCTAGGATGCCACTTGTGCAATAAGTCCATTCGTGGACTAAATATTTAGTAGTAATAATATTATTATAAAATATTATATTACATTATAACAAAGTGGAAGCAATTGGGAACAACAGCAACTCAGTCATGAAGTGGTAGGCCACATAAAATCATAGAGCAGGGACAACGTATAGCAGTGGTTCTCAATTCCATTTCTGGCGTTCCCCCTGCCAGAATGTTTTCATTCCATCCCTACCTTAATCAGGCTCAGATGGTCCTTAGTAGGCTAAAGCCAGTTTCAGACTTTAAGTCTACACTGCGCTCCGTGCCGCGTGCTGCTCGCGGAGCTTGTGCGAGCTCTGTGGTCAAAGATGGACTTTGTTGAACTTTGACCGCTGAGCGCTGTGACGCATTGTCGCGCGATCAATAGAAACAAGGCACCGAAATTGAAATAGAGGGAAAACGTATAGCTCTGGGAACTCAGACACGGACAATATATCACACAAATGTAGAATCTTTTTGAATGCAAAATATATCGCTATTGACCGTGAGCCGAAATGACAGGAGAGAGTTTTGAAAACCACGCCTACCGCTGTTTTTTGAATGGGGTGCGCACAGTGCATGCTGCATTTGTTCTGTAACCAGCTTTAACCTATTGAGGTAGGGTTGGAACAAAAACATTCTGGCAGGGGGGCACCAGGAACGGAATTGAGAACCACTGACTTATAGTGAGGCGCACAGTGTGCAGAAGTCGCCAACTGTCTGAAGAGTCAATAGCTACAGACCTCCAAACTTCGCTTGGCCTACAGATTAGCTCAAGAACAGGGCATACAGAACTTCATGGAATGGATTTCCATGGCTGAGCAGCTGCATCCAAGCCTTAATTCACCAAGTGCAATGCAAAGCGTCGGATGCAGTGGTGTAAAGCGCACCGCCACTGGACTCTAGAGCAGTGTAAACGTATTTGCTGGAGTGACGAATCTCTGCCTGGCAATCTAATGGATGAGTCTGGGTTTGGAGGTTGCCAGGAAAACGGTACTTGCCTAACTGTATGGTGCTAAGTGTAAAGTTTGGTGCAGGGGGGATTATTGTGTGGGGTTGTTTTTCAGGGGTTGGGCTTGACCCCTTAGTTCCAGTGAATGGAACTCTTAATGCTGCAGCATTCGAAGCCATTTTGGACAATTTCATGCTCCCAAATTTGTGGGAACAGTTTGGGGATGGCCCCTTCCTGTTCCAACATGACTGCGCACCAGTGCACAAAGCAAGGTCCATAAGGACATGGATGACTGAGTCTGGTGTTCAGGAACTTGACTAGGCTGCACAGAGCCCTGACCTCAACACCTTTGGGATGAATTAGAGTGGAGATTGTGAGCCAGGTCTTCTCGTCCAACATCAGTGCCTGACCTCACAAATGCTGTCCTGGAAGAATGGTCAAAACAAAACACACACTCCTAAACCTTGTGGACAGCCTTCCTAGAAGAGTTGAAGCTGTTATACTGTAGCTGCAAAGGGTGGGCCAACTCCATATTAAAGCCTATATATTAAGAATGGGATGTCATTAGAGTTCATGTGTGTGTGTAGGCAGGTGTCCCAGTACTTTTGGCAATACAATTTATGTATATCAGAAAAACATTTGTTTTATGATCATTTCTTCTTTTCAGTTTACTTCATTTTGTGGCTGGATTTTTAACATTGTTGAATGAATGATTAATTGGACAAACAATAAAGTCCAGTCCATTTCATTTTTATTCACCAAGGATGCCAAAAATTCTGGAGAACAATGTAATGGGATGACTGAAAATGGGAACAAAGTACTATGAAAAAAACATGGTTGCATTCTAGCACATGACCAGTCACATTACATTACCAGGTGAGTTGGTGTGTGCTGTTGCTTTATGTGGGATGAAGTGTAGGAGGAGAACTTATTCCTAATATTATGCTACAGTATATACAACTAGCCATAATGCCACCATATCCAGTTGCCAAGCGCCTACAATTTCAACATGACATTGATTCGCTTACTAACTTGATCTAATTAGATATACTCAATATTTAAAAAATAATTCAATTACTGGTATGACATTCAATCCAATACAGGCATAAAATATAAGTCTTTTGTGCTTATTATTTATAAATTGTGCTGTTCCCCCAAAACATGAGCTTCCCTTTAACGTAAATTTGTGAATATATTGTGTATTAAGATAAAAAGAAAAATCGAAATCATATCCTAGCTATTTCGAAGTCTGATCAAAAAAGCATGGAAAGCATTAATTAACATGTTCAATCTCAGGAATATATACAGGGCAGGGCGGGCCATCTGGCCTGTGGGTAGGTGGGCCACCAAAATCGTCCTCCCACCCCCCTCATTTGGCAACATTTGGGGCCATGGGAGATGCCAAAATCCAGGGCTGAATTTTAATACAATTCAGCGCTGTTTATTCAATTCAGCAGCCATGTTTTTATGGGTATCATCAAAAGCTGACAGATGTTACAAGTTGCATATCTGGATGTTTAATATAATCTACATTCTGTCTGCATGTGTCTTCATGTTACTAACTTTAACGATTTTAAGAAATATCCCCACAAAGCGTTATAGGAAAAAAACTGGCGACAAATGAAACGCAGACACGTGTAATTTAACATCAAGTTTTAAATAAGATTCATATTTATGCCACTGCATATTTTCAGATGGCTTTATTTCCTGCAAGGGAAACTGAGTAAGCTTCACTGGCTGCTGGGTCCGACCGCAATGCCTGCCACGCCAGTCTCTCCCAATTCATGTGGAAATCGGAAATTCCTCGGTTTTGAATAACCGATATTAAAGCCGGAGTGCATATGCTCAGCAGGTGGACTTATTTCACCTCACGTAGACTTATTAAGAATTAGATCAACACAATCAAACAGAAATAAATATATGCTTAAGACCTTTAAAATTGCAATTCTTGCAAAAACGAGGCATGCTTGCTACTCCTACTGCATGCTATAAGGTTGCACCTTAGACACTATATAAATTGCTTAGTTTGTGCGCTGCTAAGTTTACTACCTGGATTTACAGGACGAGCGAATTTAAGTTCGATTGGGAAAAAAAAGTTTTTTGTAATTGGCGAAGTTAGCCCGTCAGTGTTACTTACGCAGTGTTGCAGTTAATAACCCGACGACACTTTAAAAAACCAATGGTAGTTAGCCAATGCTTAAAATCCGTAGAAAGAAAATGTCGGCGCCTTATTTTAAAATGCCTGCCCATCCTTTATACGTTAGAATTAAAGGTAAGTTCGATATTCAAGTCAAATATTTTGATATGATTGATTACACAGTTTGTTTTGAAGATATAAGAAAAGTATATATTTTTCTTTCAATTTAAGCTTAAGGTACCGCCTCCAGACTTTGACGTCACAGCGAGAGAAACTACAATTTCAGGACATATTCTGATCACCAGCAGTACAGTTTAATGGTTTGACTGGTTGGCATAACTCAGTGTACCGTAATTGAAATATTCGACGCTAACTTAGGAATTAAAGACACCCCTGGAAATAAGGTAAAGGACTTTTAGTCGTGGAGAAATTTGTTAATGATCATTTTAATGATTGTAATAAGATAAGCTTTCAAAATGTTTTTGTTTGTTTATTATGATTTTTTAAATTATTTTGTTCTCTCTAATCGAAAATGTATTGCGAGGGATACGACAATATAGTGATAATCACATCATGCTTATGTTTCTAACTATTGGGAAATGAACTAAATTAGTGTTGTATATATAAGTATAATAATTGAACCGTATACATTCTGCTTTATATTCTTCTTATGTTAAGAGATTTATGGAAAACGCATAACATGTTTAAATTAATACGCAAGTCAAATAGTTAATGTGAAGGGAAAATTGTCAAGCGCATTTTCATTGTCATGATAAGACAATATTAAAGTGAAGGAAGTGCTTTTCTGTCATGACTTTTGTTTATATGTTTAAAAATACCTTCTATTCTGGTAACAATTGCAAAACAGAATGGCACAGTCATAAAAATATTTTGGTATATAGGGGCCCCCTCTAGTGGAAGTAGAGGGAAAAACAGACGCAGCAGTTATTTAAATGCTGACATGAAGGATAAGTGAAGAATTTGAAAGACTTAGCTTAATATTTGAGTAATAGCATTAAATTAATAGTATTTCATGCATTGTATATTTTTGATTTCAGAATATCTGTTGCATTGCTTTGGATGATATTAATTTTACAACTTCTTTTGCATTCTTCTTCATCTTCACAGTTTCATTATCTGGATTGTACACAATGATGGAATCATTCCAAACCACCGCTTCTTCTTACTTGGGTAATGGGACAAACATGTTTCCTAACTACATCCCACCCAATACCACAACAGCTGACTATTATTACGATTATGAAGATGAGAACACAGAGATTAGGAAGGTACTTAACATAATGTCTCTCATTGTGTACTCTGTGGCATTTGTACTGGGAGTGCTGGGAAATGGTTTGGTGATCTGGGTTACAGGTTTCAAGATGAAAAAAACTGTCAACACTATATGGTTCCTGAATTTGGCTATTGCTGACTTCCTTTTTACTGCATTCCTGCCCTTGAGCATAATCTACACTGCTATGGACTTCGACTGGCCTTTCGGCAAATTCATGTGTAAGTTCAACAGTACTCTGGCTTTCCTCAACATGTTTGCCAGCGTCTACATCCTAGTAGTGATCAGTGTGGATCGTTGCATCTCTGTGGTACATCCAGTTTGGGCTCAAAACCACCGTAGCTCCCACAGAGCATCAGTAGTGAGCTTTTTCATCTGGCTGTTTGCCTTGATCCTGAGCGCCCCCTACTTTGTCTTTCGAGACACGGCACCCGCGAACCATGACAAGGATGTCATCAACTGCTTCAACAACTTTGCCATCTCAGAGCACAATGAGACGTTGGACATAACAACACTCATTGCATTCCGTCACCAGACGATGATTATCACACGTCTGCTCTTGGGTTTTGTGGTGCCCTTCACTGTCATCGTTTCCTGCTATGCCATGATTGTGCATAGACTAAGGAGAAACCGTTCTATGGCTGGACGGACAGGACGGCCTTTCAGAATTATTGCAGCTATCATCATTGCCTTCTTCCTGTGCTGGGCGCCTTACCACATCCTGGTGTTTATCGAGATGGTCAGCCACATGGAATCAGAAGAAAGCAGCAGTCTGGAGCTTGTTGCCGTCATTGGCATTCCTATAGTCTCCAGCCTTGCTTTTCTTAACAGTTGCCTTAACCCCTTGCTTTATGTTTTTATGGGTCAAGACTTTAAAGACAAGGTACGTAAGTCCATTTTTACAGTGCTGGAGAGTGCCTTCACGGAGGAAGTTTGCCCTTCCAATTCTCACTCAAACTCTGGATTCAACAGCCAAAACAAGCAAACATCCTTTTCTGATGTAGAAGTGTGAGGACTAATTTGACGGTCACTGCTATGTACATCGTAGCTTAAAAATAATTTCCAGATGCTTTAGAAAGCAATCATTATATAATTATTGTGCATGTATTGTGTTTGAGCATCAAGAATGCTAATCCCTTATACAGGATATGTAATGCATATACAAAATAAGGTACTATAACTACATCAAGTACTCAGAAAATTTACTTTATACCTATTCCATCCAATATTTGAAAATGTAAGTGAGACATGGTGGTAAGATGTCATATGTACAGTGACTATCAATAAAATAACACAAGTTTTTTTCCATAAAGTTTTTAATTATGATGTTTAATGTAGCTTACTATGCTATGGATGCCATACCTTGTAAATACTTGGAAATGTTAATTCTGTCAGAGTATATACTGTTTTTTTGTGTCAATATACAGTGCCAAGTATTTTCTGTGCATCTGTTAATCAAACTTGTTTCAGATTCTTACAGAATTTTTCTAAACTATTAAATGATTAATAGAAACCTTACCATTGGTTTGTTCATTTTGGATGATACTTAATGGCCGATGGGGTGGTTTTATTTTTTATTTTAAAAGTAGCATATAGCTTTAAGAACACAAGCACTCATGGATTGTGACCTTAGCATGGTTTGTGTGCTTCAATGATCCACAGAGTGATGTGCAGCTGGACTTTTAATGGTACACTAAGTTGCACAGAGGAAGACTTTATCTATTGTTTCTGTGTAGGCACCAAATGCAGTTCAGAGAACCCAGAAATTGGATGGGGTCCTGAAATGGACTAGCATTTTAGTACACACATAACAAAACAAAGAGGGATAAAGTGGTCCCCACTGAGCTACCTGCCAGATATTGCCATTTAAAATTTAACCATAAAATATAATACATAATGGGGAAGAAATATAAATGCCAAGAAATTATGTTTAATTACAATCATTATGCAGCAAGTTATTATTCTGTGCATCATAAACTTCAGTTTTCTTAGTATTTCTAGTATTTCTAACCTTCCTAAGTGTAGATGATGCATTTTCTATTTCATATTGACAGCAGTTGTTAGGTCCATCTATCCATCTACCTGTTTTTCATAACCACTAGTTCATAACCACTAGTTTCATAACTTCCAGCATTGTACTACATTTGGAATTTGGTATTTTTGTACATATACAGTACTGTGCAGAGGTCTTAGACAGTCAAAGAAATGTTTATATTTAGATTTACCTGGGAAGCGAGTGTGTATTCACAAAGAAAGAAAAAGAACACCGGTATGCTAGTGGCCGAGTCAGCAAACACATGGATACATTGAATATTTACTGCAAATACCAGGGTGACTATTGAAGAAATGGCTAGACTGACACATTTTGACAGATGGAATATCACAGTTTTACATCTACATGAAGATCATTTAAAATTTGTCTTCTTTGACTTTTGCACAGTACAGAATGAAATGCATTCCTGAGTTAATGCAATCTTTAGTAAAATCAATGCATTCAACTTCTTGCTTTTCCTGGTCAGGGTTGCTAGGGGTATGAAGCCCATTCCAAGCAGCATAGGGCACAAAGCTGGGGTACACCCCAGAGGGGATGCCAGTCCATCACAGGACACAGGGCTGGGGTACACACTGGAGGGGATGCCAGTCCATCACAGGGCACAGGGCTGGGGTATACCCCGGAAGGGATGCCAGTCCATCACAGGACACAGGGCTGGGGAACACCCCGGAGGTAATGCCAGTCTGTCATAGGGCACAGTCTTGGGAACAACCTCGATGGGATGCCAGTCCCTGAGAGAGCATAGGCTGGGGAACACCATGAATAGGATGCCAGTATGTCACAGGGCACAGGGCTGGGGTACACCCCAGAGGGGATGCCAGTCCGTCACAGGACACAGGCTGGGGAACACCCCGGAGGGGATGCCAGTTCGTCACAGGACACAGGCTGGGGAACCCCCTTGATGGGATGCCAGTCCCTGAGAGAGCACAGGCTGGGGAACACCCTGGATGGGATGCCAATATACCACAGGGCACAGGGTACATGCAGGATGGGACATAGTCCAATCCAGGGCACAGACACAGTCTTATGCTACAGGTAACCAAGTTTCAATTTTATTTGTCACATCCACAATCATACGCTCTACCACTGTACAGTGAAACGCCTTACCATCCAATTCCTGGATTGTGAATACATATGTAATATAAAGAGAAAAACAAAACAGTTATAATTATAAATATGAATACAGGATAAAATAGGAATAAAATAACAATAAGTTTAAATAAAATGACAGTTAAACAGACAAAAATAGAGCGCATCAGCATATCGACCACTGAAAAAGATATTCAATGACACAGTGGGCTGGTAAAAGTAGGCAAAGTAAAGTGACTGGTTAGCATGGAAGCCCTCAGTGGCTCGGTTTTGGCCTCCAGGCTGTGATAGTGTAAACCTATTATTAATCTATTATTTAGTTACTGTTGCCCATTCCTGTTGGCAAATTTACCTCAAGTCATTGAAATTTGATGGATAGAGCATGTGAACCACAGTTTTATAAATGTGCCATTAATTATTAATAGGAATTAGATCAAGGCTTTTACTGGGCCCCTGAAGAGCATTCAACTTTTCAATCAATAGCTGTTCTGGTATCTCCTTAGGTTAGCTTTCATCCAAGCTTGATATTTGTAACAAAGTGTAAAATGGATTCCAAAGCTCTGTGTTTTGTTTTCATACCTATTCAGTAATTCATTCAAAATTTCTTCACATTTGCATACCACACGGGATAGCCTTCATGCGCATTGGGCATTGGATAGTTTTAGCTACCTAATATCCAGTCAGTGGATTGTGATTTTTCACTCCTCAGACCACTGTCTGTAGCATGGGTGTTGCTAGATCCCTTTTACTGGGGCACATGCCCCAATATTGATCTGCTGTGCCCCAGTAAAATGTCACGGTCAAGTTTTAACAAGTTCTTATATTTAGTAGTGTGTTAATTTGAATTGATATTAACGGGAAAGGAATTCTAATCTGCAATGTCAAAGAAATGCAGTTTAACACAGATTACAAGGTGAGGTATATACCTTGCAATCCAGGTTCGTACACTGTGGTGCACACATTACTGTCCATTCATGGCATTGTGCATGTCGTAGCCAGTGCACCGTGGCACGGACACGTATTCCCTGGATCAGCGCATGAAACAAGAATCAGGATTGAAGAATGATAACACGATGGGATTTAACTCTTGTATATTGACATCAGTGTGGCAGTGACAGGAATAGTGAGCTAAGCAAGGGAAGTTCAAATAGCACATTCTATACCACATTTCATACATAGAGCAGCTATTTGAATAATGGGGAGTCTGTTCTGGGTATGACATTAAATTGTATCCAGCCCTGCAAGTAGTCCACCAACTAGCAGGGAATTTTTTTTGGGTTGATGGCAGGATTGACACTCTAGCCTCCATAAAAAACTTCACGACAGCTTGGACCAAACATGCATGACACCTTTGTGCTCTCAGCAGGAGTAGCTCTGCAGCAGCCACGAATGAATTCATCATGAAGGGGATGGGGAAAAGTGTTCGGGAACCTCATGCCTGGAAGAGTGGAAACCATTGGAGAGCTAACAGGGTCTTGTCTGTTGGGGATCAGAGCTAGTGTGGTGCTGAGGCATTGCCCACTGCATGGTGGCACTTGGGTCCCAGTTTGAGGCGGCCCATCCAGGTAGGCGCGTGGAACATCTTGTCTCTCTGGCAAGATGACCATCTTCCTCTGCTGTCAGAGGAGCTTCGCAAACTCCATTTAATAAACACATTTCAGTGGTTACACTCTCTGAGGTATGCAGACCAGAAAGTGGCCAGATCTCTGTAAATGGGTACACCTTTTTGGTCTGGTCACTCTGGTGGCTGCCATACTCGGTGAATAGCTGTTGCTATGGCAGATTGACTCCTCCTGATGGTGTTTGATGTCACTCGTTTCAACAAGCATATTATGAGACTCAAGCTAAGACACTCCTTGGGTGTCTTGTCTGTTGTCTCAGTGTATGCTCTCACTACAGTGAGTGATGTCTTGTTGAGGGAAACATTTTACTTGCAATTTCACTCAGTGGTTGATGGGTGCCCACGAGGTGACACTCCCCTGGTCATGGGTGACTTCAATGCAACCACTGGCACTGACAGGGCGGGCTATGAGGATTGTGTTTGTCCCCATGGGTTTGGTGTCCAGGGTGAGAGTGGCTCCATTTTCCTTAACTTTGCGAAAGGTTAGGGGCTGCATGTTGCTGGATCCTGGTTCCAATGTCCTGAGCCGCATCGTTGGACTTGGTACTCCAATACTGGTGGTGCAGTGAAGGAGATCGATCTAATCAATGTGGGCTGATTCTGGAGGCTCCTGCAGAACTGCAGGGACTACAGAAGTGACCAATTTGTAAATTATGATCTCAGACTTGTTTTTGCTGCTCAGAAGATTCAGCTTAGATCCAGTAGGTTATCATTTACTAGGAGAATGAGGCTGGACTTGGTGAGACTCCCAGATCAAGTTGTTTTTGATGAGTTTGCATGCAGTGTGTGTGAGGAACTTGCAAATTTGGGTGCGACTGCTTATTCTAATGTGATGTGGGGGACCTTCCGTGACAAGACCCTGAAGGCTGCTGAGGGTTGTGTTGGTGTTCCAGTGTGCCCAGAAGTAGGTGTTTCACCTTGCAAGGCACCCTGGATATTATCGAGAGGAGTCACAGCGCACAACTTGGTGGCACTCATGTCTGTACCAGGAACTGAGGAGGATGGGTGTGAAGGCTCTGAGGTCAGATAAGGAGGTGCTTGTTAGAGGAATCTGTGAGCAGGTGACACACCATCTGTGGTCTAGAGACCCACATTCTGTTTCTAGGTGAATCGAAGCATTTTGCCCATCTGAATCTGTTCCACAGAGACTTGCAGTCACGGTAGGCTATGGAACTGTCCTTACAGATGACACTGCAGTTGTGACCTGCTGGGCTGGCTAGTTTGAGCAGCTGTTTAAAGCTGATCCTCCAGCTAGGACTTTGGACATCTCTGGGTTCACAGTTCTTGAGGCTGATCTTTTAATCAGCTGTGAACCACCCAATCTCACTGAGATTGCATGGGTTTTGAATCGGCTGGGGGTAGGGAAGGCTGCAGGGATCTGTAGTATCCGGGGTGAACTTCTCCAGACTGGTGGTAAGGATGTCCTCCTGGCATTGCTGGCAATCTTTGCTTCCATTTAGGAGTTAGGCATCATTCCAACTGACTGAAAAATGGAACTTGTTGTCCCTATCTGGAAGTGTCAGGTAAGGCCTTTGATCACTTCCTTGCCTACCAGCAACCAAAGGAGTCTGGGTTTATGCCTAAGAAGTCTACCATCGACCGCATTTGTCAATTTTGTAAACTGTTTGACTCAGTTGATCAAGCTGCCCTGTGGGACATCCTGAGACTGAGACAGGATTCCCCCAAAGTTGCTGGATATCAAATCTGGCCTGTACACTGGTACTGTGAGTGCTGTGCAGAGAATCTCTGTGTTC